TTCTCCCATCCAAATAAAGATGGCACGATATTGATGTGATGAGGGTAGCAGCAGTTACTAGAGATAAACTAAGTTTTTTTTTGCACTTTTTCGTGATGGTGCTATTGAGGAAGACCAAAGCCAAGTCATTGAGCCTTTCATGAACGGCTCATATTCTGCTCGTGAATGAATGATTGAACCTAGCACGGAATCTATTTTCGTATTTCATTTCATGGTATTGTGGAAGATGAAAATTATCTTGTTCATTTGTATGTTTTGGTGAACACAATGAGCACTTAAGTTCTGATTTGTATTTTACAATTTAGCTTTTTGATACTTGGAAGAGTTTATTATGAAGTATCTGCTCCTCTGGCGTGCTTGATAGTTTATACTGATAATGACAGTGATAGGTCAAATTTGATAGTTTGTGAGGATGCCTTATGTTGTAGTCAATGATAAATAAGAATCTAGAAGTAAACCGATTTAAGGCAATTTAGAAAGATGTGAAAGCTTGTAGTGAAAATAAACAGGGCTCAACTAAACAAAATGAAATTAGGGATAGAATTTTCAGTCATTGGTGCCTAGAATTGGGTTTTCTATGGCAATTGCATTAGGGCCATCTTGATGTCTTGGTACTGTAGACTTCTATTCGTTCAACTCATCATCCAATTTTAAGTTATATTCACATATGGAAATGTTAAGCATTTCCAATGATGTTAATTGCAGATATGATTCCAGAAATTCAGTTTTGGAGTGGTCTATAGTTCTCATTGATAACTCAAATCGCAGGTCAGCTTACAATCATGTTATTCTATTTTTACCTTAGACTGCAAATATAGTTTTGCTTACTTGGTTTTGATTGGATATTTGGAACTTTGCAGCGGATCTATGGAATTTGTTGTCCCTCCTGTAGATACATCAGCATTTTTCCCAATTTCTGTCCGATTTACGGCTACAAGCACTTTCAGTGAGCTGAAGGTTTTTCATCCTTTCCTTTTATCTCAGCATCTTGCCATTTTCAACCAATACTTCTCTAAAAAGAAATTTAATGTGCATTCCAAAATTTTGCTTGTCCTCTCATACATCAAAAATGTATTGCCAATTTGTATTCAACAATGAGATTTCATCATGGTTTACTCTTAAGAATTATTTGCATGTCTCTACCTCCATGCAACTAGGGGTGGCAAAACAAGGTGGAGGAAAATGTCCCTTCTTTATATATGAGCAGTTGGGTTGACCTGTTTATGTTATAATGATTTCGAACCTGCCAGATCCAGTCGATCATGGTCTTTCGGCACCCTTGCCATTTGTTTCAATAAATTTAGTTGTTTATTTATTTGAAAATAGCCAATATATGTACAAGGTGGGAAAAAATGAAAACAAATCAGCGCCTATTTTGCTGTACAAAAATTCCATAAATGGGAACAGAGCGGTACATGAACTCTCTTTGAGAATTAGTTTTGTTGAGAGTTAAGTTAGCTGGTTAGTTTTGTATTCTACTTTTTATTTCTCATTTAGTCGAATGATAAGTTTGGTTTTGGCCTATAAAAAAATTCCATCCATTTGGCACGCTTCCAGCAAATAGTTATTTTCTACCTACCGTGTCTTGAATATTATGCGGTGTTCCCCAAACAATGGAAAGTAATAGACATTTTTCTAGGCACACTGCTGCTAATAAAAAAACGTAGTTTTCCTCGTCTATATGTATTTGTTATTAACTAGTTTCTATTGCTTTCGGCTGTTTGAAGGAGCCTCTTTTTTTAATACTATTAACCTCTGCAGGTTTTAAACATTATACCATTGAGAGGTGGAACTCCACCCAAATTTTCTCAGAGAACAGTGCTGTCAACGGAGAATTACCAAGTGGTTTGATAATTGTCACTACAATATTGTCCGACTTCCATTATGATTTTTGAATTTAAATCACAAACTCTGCACTTCTTTCATACTTTTGTTTCAAATTTTGTGGACAATGATGCCACTTTGTAGTTATTATGTACTGTAGCTTGAACCTTGATATTTTCTTGCGATGATAGTCCATTTATGATATGATGAGAAAGAAGAATGGGTTTTTATATGTATTAGTTGTTCACATTGATGTTATTTATATATATTTTTTGCTGGTTTCATGTCAATTTTGTCGAGAATACTTTAGTATATTAAATACTTTGCCAATTGTGCTCGAGTATTGGATGTTTGGATAAATACACAATGATCCAATATTTGAACCTTGACACGTATAGGCGTTGCCTAGACATGCTGAAGTTCGCAAGTTTTGAAGTTTGATCTTGTTACTCGTTACGTCTTTTACAACCTTGGCTTGCTCTTGTTTACTTGAATGTAACAAGCAAAACTTTTTGGCTCTAAAAGGGTTGCTTCTCACATGGATTAAAAATTAACAAGTGAACGTTTCAATTTCATTTAAAGCTCAAATGCGCAAGTATTTAAATTTCAAGATTGATGTACTTAATTAAGTTATCATCTTGTAAAAATATGTTTGAAGGTAATATTTATAGATTTACGATAAAATAAATAAGTATTATTCTAAATGTACAAGAAAGATCTCACAGAACATTTATAGGAATTCAAAAAAAATGACGTGGCAGAGGAACAAAACACATAAATAAATGAAAAAGGAAAATGACCTTACAAAACCGTGAATTTCTAATTTCATTCACCATTTCCCCCAAAATATAGAAGAAGCCCCGCCACTCAGCTTTCTCCATCTCCGGCCAACATCAGGCTAACCGACTGTCGCGCACCTTCGGCCACATAAAACCCATATTTGAAGACAACATTAGGGGTGAGCGCGGGTCGGTTCAGTTCCCTTTTTTTCGGTTCCAGAAATTTTCGAGTATTTAGTAAATGGAACCGTCGGTTCCAAATATAATTTTGGAACCGTTCGGGTTCGGTTCTATTCTGTTCGGTTCCGTACTATAATTAAAATTTTTAACATTTAAAATAATACTACATAAATACACCTGAAAGTATATACTAATATTAATAACAAAAAGTATATACAAATACCAAGTTCAATCTTAACTTTTACAAATTAACGTAATCTAATTTAATAACATATAAATAATAAGTTGTCAAATACAAATACCAAAAAGTAAATATTACTAATAAAACTTCGATGGTTCATATCAATAATTCATTTGCTTCAAACCTTCAAATCTACATAAAAGTGAAATATAAATTAGAAGTCACAAATATAAAATATTTTAAAGTATTGATAATACTTACCAACTATTTAATGTAATTATTAGTTGGTTGACTTTCCATACTAACTATTAAGAAACTATATAAGAAAAAATTGAAAAAAACACAACTAACAAACATAAATAAACTCTAAATTGTTCAACTAATAAGATTTAATAAGAAAAAGTTATTAATTTATTTAGAAAAAATAAAAGAAATTGATTTATCCAATATAAAAAAAATTCGATTTTTCGATTCTTGGTCTAGAACTGAGAACCGAATCAAACCATTCGGTTCTCGATTCGGATACCCGTTCGGGTATTTCATTTTAAAAAACCCGCTCGGTTCGGTTTGGACATTTTGCCCAGCCCTAGACAACATCGCTTTAGCTTTTGGAGACTTGTTGAAGAAATTATGGGCTCCTGGAGCAATCCCAGTAGCACCAAGAACATTCAAATTGAAGCTTGCTTAGGTGGTTGAAGGGTGTTAAATTAGAGGCAGGCTTTGAAGGATATGCTAAATTATATGCAGCTACATATGGCTGTAATTTTGTATTTAGGTAAGGAAAATTCAGCACTGATATGGAGCTTGTATTCATGCTTTTAGTATTATAACTTGTAATTGTGCCTTGAGTGATGTCCAAATGCTATATTTCCCTTCTTGATGTTTGATCAAGACAGATTCTTTCTTGATATGGTTTTCTTATCTAAACAGGCAGAAGATATGGCCTCAAAAACACAGGTCAACTATCCTCAAAACACTGCACCAAATTATGCAATGCAACCTAAAACTAAACAAAATTTAAAAGCTTCCAATAGCCAAACTAATTACGATGTATGTTCTTAGCTGCTTTGGCGCCGGCTGGCGATGGAGGTTAGTGCGGCGGCTGGTTTCACTTTGGGTGGCAGATGGTTTGAAGGGTGGGTTTTCTTTGGACCTAGGGCAAAAGGACTCAGCGCGATTCTCTTGTTCGGAATTTTTTTTTTAAAAAATTAAATGCTACGTCTGCATTTTTGAATTCACGTAACAATTCTGAGAACGATTTCCTGTACCTATAGCAGACTTGAATACAAATAAATAAGAAAAAGGCGGTCTTTTTACACATTAAGTTTGACGGTCCTCTCACATGGGTGTGTAGCCCTGGATTGTGGACCCCACCCTTATGTGTGAGCTGTCAAAATGTATGTATAAAAAGGCTGTAAGTGTAGCACTTCTCAATAAATAAATAAATAACGTATGAGAATCTGGGCTACAAAATATCCTCATCCTCCCAATAGACATCAAACACGGTTTGACTGACATTCGAAAATGAGTAAAATTCACTGCATTGGATTGTATAAATCAAAGGATCAATCATAGATTGGACATAGCACGCATGCAATATCACCCTATTTTTCTAGATTTCGCCCCAGTTTGGTGGGAATTAAAATAAAAATTTTAATGAAAAAGTTGATGGTATTCGTTATTAAAAAGTTGTGGATCCCATAAAAACGTGATTAAAATTAATAGTGGATTTTGCCTTAGATCTCTACCGACATAACCGAATTCCTCTTTTGCTCTGTAGGACCCAAAATTCATTCGACCCTTGTATCCAGGAGGAAATCAAGTAAGAGAGAGAGAGGCTGATGTGTGTGTAGAAATAGAAAATCAATCTCAATCAGTGTTTATTGTTTATTAATTACTGACCATTTCTCTCTAACTTCCATTTTTCTCTCATTCGAATCTTCCTGTTGTTTATATCTCTCAGTCCCCTCTTTGCATTGTTCTAGCTATATATCGTCCCCGCCTCGTCCCCGACCTGCCGGTGAAGTAATTCTAACATGTCAACAGAAGGTGTCATTGTGGAGGACACAATTAATTCTTGTAGGTTTGCGCCGGGTTCACCCAAGAATAGGCTAAAATTCTTGTGCAGCCATGGTGGCAAGGTTCTTCCCCTGCCTGCCGATGGCCACCTTATGTACGTTGGTGGCGAAACCCGTGTCATTTCTGTGCCTCGCGACATCGGTTTCCAAGGTAATATGTAAGTTTTCATTCGTATGTAATATTTCTTTTGTGTTTTCGTTGTAGATGGCAATATGCATTTGATTAGCCTCCATAGCTACAGGTAAAAAATGAAAACATGATTCTTCTCTAATGATTTTCTTTTCTGAACATAAACTTGCCAAATGTTTCATTGAATTTTTTCGAGTCCAACAAGAACAATAAGTCTTGTTCACGATAAATTTGGAATCAAACACTTGTATTAGGATTCATATTGTAAGATATGACAAAGTTTTTATGCTAGTCGACCTACCGTAACCCTCTTCCGCTACTGATGGTTGGGACCGGCATATAAGCAGAAAGACGGGTATTTCTTGCTCATTAAGATCAATGCACGAAAAGAGAGTACGACTTTCAGACATCTGTTGCTTATAAACGAAATAACATGCTTCATGTTCTTATTACGTATAGAAGTTATGACGAAGCTCACTTACCTGATTGATGGTGAAATGCTCCTGAAGTATCAGCTACTCCAAGAGGACCTTGATGCCCTGGTGTCGGTGAAATCTGATGAAGATTTAGGCCACATGGTCGAAGAGCATGATCGTTATGAAAGTGCAGGAAGCTCAAGGCTTCGAGCTTTCCTGTTCCCTGCAAACCTTTCTGCAATTGAGAACAAAATGGCATCCACAGAACATCGTGAACTTGAGCTACGATACATTGATGCCATCAATGGCATAATCCGTGCTACACCAAGTAGCAAAAAACCAAGTCCAACTATCATTGTAGGACAACGTGGGACTTTTATTTCCTCGGCATGCTCGTCCCCAACATCACCCAAGAGCTGCACTACCAAAGCCATGTGCCACGAAAGCCCGCTTCAGGGTTGTCAGCAAACGGGAGAAGTGAAAATGCAGAAAGTCGAGAGCTCACCTAGCATACGCAACCTAAATATACCACAGCAAACCAGCCACTCTGTTCATTCCCACAACTATTATCAGAATTTGGTTCAATCTCCTCAACTCAACTATCAGTCCAGCAAACCACCTACTGATCCGCACAGATATGGTGCATCTGAAAGGCTCGTCTCGATCAGGTCTATAGGAAGAGTTGAGGGAGTAAAGTACCAAGTCGATCGTTGCCCCTATAACTACTACTCTACGCCTTGGCATAACCGAGGAAGCAGATGTTGTACTAGATGTATGCATTGTGATGATTGTTGCCATGGTTTGGATAAAAGAATGATTGACAGGACAGGGCGTCCGAGCATGAGTCCAACTCCCTTAACTCCCCGGAATGGCTATAGCATCTTAAGGGCATGAGACAACACATGACAGAGGAGAATAGAACTGACTCGCTCAACTATTAACAGAGCAATTTGAAGGATGTAAATATCTGATCAAAGCAATTTGGAACATGTAAGATAATGAACTGTAAAGCTCTTTTAGGTTTCAATTTTGAAGATTACTCTGTACAGATGCAATTGTATATTTGCATGCATAGAACATGGAAGTGTAAATCCTCATTTTAGGCTTTCATTTTGAAGGAAACAAACCGTCATGTTTTTCATTCTTTCATTTTCCTTCTCCAAAATTCTAGACCGGTCAAATAAAAAAACTAAAGATGCGTTTAGTTTGTGTCTCTGTTTTCTATTTTCAATTTTGAATTCATTTTTTTTTTGTTTTGACGATTTATTTTAAGATTGCAGAAAATGCATTTTGTTTGTTATTTTGAAAAACTGCTTTTCAAAACAAAAAATTAGAAAATGTGTTTGGTTTAAAATTTTATATATAGTTTTATGGCATTTTTTTTCAATTAATTTGATTATTTAGTAAAACATATCAATTTTATGCTTATATGTCATGATTTAGTTTTATGGGTATTTGTATTTAGGTAGGTTTTGTGGAATTTTATTAATTATTTTAATTTGAGAAATGTTTTAAGTTCATTTTTCTTGTTTTGAATTTTTTTAATGTTTTCAATGAAAACATTCAAAATGTCAAAAAGTGATTTTGAGTTTTACGTTGTAAAATTTTCCTCGTTTTTGAAAGCGCATTTTTTGAAAATAACATACCAAACACATTTTGAATGTTTTGAAAAACTGAAAACTAAAAATGATCTCAAAACGACAAATCAAATGCACTCTAAACGTGCATGCCCAGAGGACTCCAAAAACATAAAATTGAAATGGCACTCGAGCGAACTAAAGACCGTCTTTTGCACTTATAAACTCACTTATTCATCCTGAATCGTCAACAAATACATTAAAATGCACTTGAGGCTGAAATATCCATCTTTTAACAAACCTATTGGAACATGTTTTAACGTCTATTACCAAAACTTTTTCAAACACCTTATGATCAATTCCAACAAAAATATTCCTTGTACACATTAGAAGAAAAATCCAAAAGTAAAAAAAAAATGCTAATAAACTGTGTGTCAATATGCCTTGCTGCTTCATTTGCTATCTGTAAAATCAGTATCAATGACATCTCCTTCAGGTCCCTTGTCCGATGGTTCTGAAGAGCCTGCCCCACCACCAGGTGTTGGGCCGGTACCTGGAGCTGCACCGGGTTGGTTATATAGTGACTGGCCAAGTTGCATCACTTCTTGATTCAGAGCAGTCATTGCGTCCTTTATTGGTTGGGTTGATCCTCCAGAGATGGCATCCTTCAGTTCGCCAAGTTTCGCCTCGACCTTCTCTTTTACGGGGCCAGGGACTTTGTCCCCAAGTTCCTTCAGCTGCTTCTCGGTCTGGTAAACAACAGAATCAGCCTGATTTTTGGTATCTATTGCATCTCTCTTCTCCTTGTCTTCCTTTGCAAACCTTTCAGCTTCTTGAACCATTCTCTCGACCTGTAGATTCATTCAGAAAAAATGCAAACTCAGCATTGACCTAAACTAGTGTATGCTATAAATGTTCATTGAGTGCTTGCTGGTATGATTATTTCCTCTAGGTGTTAAAGTAGAAAATGTCAAGAAAATAACTTATTGATGCTAGTGAGAAGCCAATTACTTCCCCAAGCATGCTTTCGCTGTTATAGATTATGTTAGTTTTAACAAATTATAAAAAATTCGCACCTCATCGCCGGGCAATGTGCTAGCACCAGTAATGGTGATGTCCTGTTTCTTTCCAGTTCCTTTGTCAACGGCACTGACAGAGAGGATGCCATTTGCATCAATGTCAAATTTGACTTCAATTTGAGGTACTCCACGTGGGGCTGGCGGAATTCCATCAAGACGGAAGCTGCCTATCGACTTGTTGTCCCTAACGAACTCTCTCTCACCTTGGAGGACATTGATTTCAACACTTGTCTGACCATCAGCAGCTGTTGAGAACACTTCTGATTTTGAAGTCGGCAGTGTTGTATTTCTTGGAATGATCTTTGTCATCACCCCTCCAAGAGTTTCCAACCCCAAAGACAGTGGTATCACATCCAGAAGAACGATATCGCTGACATCTCCCGCTAAAACGCCAGCCTAAGCAAAGTAAATAACATGGAAAGATAATTAGATATCATAACAACCTTAACTACAAATTTAACATGTCTCGGACAATTTAAAGAGGGAACAGGACAACCTGAACTGCAGCTCCCAGGGCAACAACTTCATCTGGATTAACAGTAACATTTGGGTCTTTTCCAGTTAATTTTTTAACTAGTCCCTGAACAGCTGGTATACGGGTTGAGCCACCAACAAGAATGACCTCATCTATATCACTAAATGAGAGCTTTGCATCCTTCAAGGCATTTTGAACAGGTTTCTTTAGCCTAATAGAGAAACAAAGAGACCTCCAAAATAAGCTCTGTGCAAAAACAGTAGGAACTGAGTGAATAAAAAATTAATAACAAGCTTAAAAGCTGCTCCCAGCTCCTAATACCTGTCAAGCAAATCTGAGCACAATTCCTCAAACTTGGCTCTTGTAAGAGTAGTTTCAATATGTTTGGGGCCATCTGCAGTGGCCGTAATAAAAGGCAAACTAGTGAAGAAAAGGGGGGGAAGTTAGTATTTATGCAAGCAAGAAGTGTCGGAAAGTTACAAAACTGTATACTTGCCTAAGATTAGTCTGTGTCAAAGATGAAAGTTCCATTTTAGCTCTCTCTGCCGTCTCAGTCAGGCGCTGAAGACCTTGTTTGTCCTTCAAAAGATCTATCCCTTCATCCTTCTTAAAATTTGAGGCCAGCCAATCAACAATTCTCTGGATAAAGCTTATATAATGTGAATAACAGTGTATTAAGAGACTAGGCACAAACAAATTATGTGTTGATGAAAGAAAAGCCCAAGCAAATGAAGTAGCAAACCATTCAACAGAAGTAGCAAGAGAGACTACGAACCTTATCAAAGTCATCACCGCCAAGATGTGTATCTCCAGAAGTAGAAAGGACCTCAAACACGCCGTCACCAACCTCAAGAACTGAAATCATAGGATAAGAGATAAAAACCATTAAAATATTTGTAGTGTGCATAAGATCTTCGTAGAAAATGCAATACTTTCGAGACCCAATATACTTAAAAACTAGTTTTTCAACATTCATGAACACATTTCTAAGGCGAGTAATTCAGATATGTAAAATGGAAACATATGACCAAAGATCTGAAATTGCAGCAGCCGTATGGTATAACTGGAAACAAGATTCAGCAAGCCAGGTTGATAATTTATGTTATACCAGTTCACCAAAGTACAACAGATAAGTAAGTATCCAACAAAAGCAAATTATCCAATCCTATTCTTTTCAGATTAAGATAGCAATGAACCACGTTGGTGTTGAGGGCATGTAAGGATAACCTTCAGAGCCTAGCCGAAAGTTTGGATAAATGTCCCTGTAAGAGGAGGAGGAGGAGGAGGAGGAGGGGGGGGGGGATTCAACTGTGAACAAGAAGACATGAGACAGATCTCAAACCTGAAACATCGAAAGTTCCACCTCCAAGGTCAAAAACCAAAATTGTTTCATTGCTTTTCTTTTCAAAACCATAAGCCAAAGAAGCAGCAGTAGGTTCATTTATAATCCGGAGAACCTCTAAGCCAGCAATACGACCAGCATCCTTGGTCGATGTCCTCTGTGAATCATTGAAGTAAGCTGGAACTGTGACTACAGCTTTAGTAACCTTGTCGTTCAAAAACTTAGATGCATCATCTACAAGCTTCCTCAAAACCTAAGATTAGCAAATGAGAAACATTAGAAGAAATCCATACAGAAAAAATGTCTAGATGGAACTCGAGCACTAGTTATATGATCTTCCCATAGCAATCATCTCTCTAAATTTACTATAATGAAGAATAAATGAAGTGATAGATCCTTCAAAAAAGAGAAATAAAATTCTATATAACAGAGACACAAACAATGCACACAAATATCCAAATTAGATGCAACATGTCATTTGACATATGCATCAATAGGCACAAGCTGTTGTGAATCAAACACCACGACTAAAACGTGTGTGGTTATTATTTTCGGAATAATGCCTCTTTACAATGATAAGGTCCATGCCCTGAAAAGCTTCTCCCATTCTCTTTCTTAGCCAATAATCCAGTACAAAAATATGAACATACCAATATGGAGGGGGTGTGAATATATGAATAAATATGAAATACGAAATTTGGTAGGCACATAGACAACAAAAGATTTTCGACTCTAATATCTAAGGACTCTCAAAAGCAACAAGAGGTTAGTTAACTCCTCAATCTGATCTACTGATTTGGCAAGTCAAGATCTGGCGTACTCATAATATTACCTCCCTCTATACATGTAGCTTTATTATTTCTATAAGCACAAACGAACTACTCAGGAAATGGGTCATGTGTAGTTATCAATAAAACAAGAGTAATAGATTATGTCATAGCACTAAAATTCTCATCAGTTCCCGAAACCACAACCTCTTTCCAAAGATGTCATTCTCCCAATAATTATTCTAGCTCAAAAGCCTGTCTAGGAACTAGAATACTACAATTAAAAGCTTAGATGAATTTCAACGAAACATTTGTGGGCAAATTTTCCAAACTCCCTCTCTAGTTCAATGAAAAAAAGAAAAATAATAATAATAATAATCACAAGCCCACAATAAACAAAGTAACAGAAAAGAAAGTTTAATATTCAGAAGTCCACAAATGTAAAACAAAGACCAGCAGATATACACGCATATGGCAAATCAACCACATAATACAACCCCTTAATCTATATTGTGAAAATCATAAAACTTTGAAACGCCAAAACTTTAGAACACGGGAATTACTGTTCAGATATTCCAACTTTATTCCATCTAGTGAAGTGAATATTAGTTATTCAAGTCAACAAAGAGAACAAATCCTTGTCATTTCAGTTCAACCCCAAGAAAATGCAGGCATTAAAGAACACACTGAAAGCTGAAAGAAGGAGAGTAAATGGTAATAGGACTTGAATATACCTGAGCGGAAATTTCCTCAGCAGCAAACTGTTTTCCGATGGCTGGGCACTCAAGCTTGACATTCCCATTCTCGTCCCTGACCACGTTGTAAGAAACCTGCTTTGACTCATCGTCCACCTCCGACATTTTTCTCCCAATAAACCTCTTCACAGAGAAGAACGTGTTCTCCGGATTCACCACTGCCTGCCTCTTCGCAATTTGGCCCACCAACCTATCTCCATTTTTCGTATAGGCCACGACCGAAGGAGTGGTCCGCTGCCCCTCAGCATTGGTCACTATCGTCGGCTTCCCTCCCTCCATCGCCGCCACCGCAGAATTAGTCGTTCCCAGGTCAATTCCAACAACTTTTTCAGATACTACGCGCAAAGGCGTCCAAGTGGGATTTCCTCGCGAGCTGCTTCTGGCCTTACTTTTCAGCCTGGAACCAACATACGTCATCTGATTAAGTCTTGGTCCAAAAAATACTGTTTTGGAGGGATTTCTAATGATTTGGGTAGAGGATGCCAAGTGAGTGCCGGCCCCAAGTCCAAGAGCGTGAATTTGAGCTGTTGAGGAGGCCATTTTCTTGTTTTTTCTGAAATGAAAAGGAATTAAACCCTATAAATTGTATATCTCTATAATTATGTGAGAAAATCTGTAGAGAAGAGGGATTGATGTAGTGTAATTTTGAGGAGAAGAAAACAAAACCCTAACTAGAAGTAGATATTGGGGGTTTTGACTTTATGAGTTTTTTGGTGGGTTAATTAGCGCACAAGCCACAAGGCAGATGTACTGTGAAAATCGTTGTTACTTTTTATTTTTTTTAAACATTTTTATCCTTACTTCTACCTCTTATGACATTCATTTTCGCAATTAAAAGCTATGAATTGATGTCTTTCACTATTATTGCGAAAAATATTCATACTTTTTATTTTTTAACTTTTTCACCCTTAACATCCAATTTTTCAATAAAAAGTTGTGAAATGATTAATACTCTCATATTTAAATATAAATAAATATATATGAAGAACTAATTGTAATCATAGTCCCATTTTTTTTTTAAATGTGCAAACGAGTCTCAAATAAATTATTAAAAAACTAGAAATTAAAAAGTGCAAATAAATCCCAAATAGATTATTAAAAAATGTAATTTCTTTATTTTTTATTTAAATAAGAGAATATATTTATCATTTCATATTTATTTAAAAATAGATAGAAATGATGATTTGTACAATTAAAGGTGTAATTAAGAGTAAAAATGTCAAAAAATAAAAGATATAGACATTTTTACGATAATGATAAAATATAGAAATATTATGTGCTAATTACCATTTTAATAATTTATTTGAGACTGTAACAATTAGATCTTTTCATTTTTGTTTTATTTAAATAGAACGATATATTCGTCATTTTACAACTTTTAATTGAGAAAATTGGTGAAAACAACATTTTGTGCAATGAAATGTGGAATAAGGGTAAAAATGCCAAAAAAATGAAAGCTAATGACGTTATGTGCTAATTACTTTTTTTGGCATATAAGAGTAAATTTAGTCACTTTTGACCTTCTTTACTTTAGTTTTAAATTTGTTTTTCGTACTCATTTTTAATCACTTATTTATACAATAAAATATTCTACACGTAAATATAAAATTTCTACATACTTTTTAATCATACATTTTTCAAAAAATAATATTCAAAGCAATATTTTTTAAAATTTTAAGGATGTCAAACAAGTGCTAAGTCACTTAACTTTGAATCGTAGAATATTAGTCACTAGGGTGGGTGTGGATTAGGTTGGGTCGGGTTGATTTTTGCCTCAACCGAAACCGAAACCCAACCCAATATTATCGATTTGTTCGAAATCCAACCCAATCTATATAAATATTGAATCCCAACCCAACCTAATCATATGTCAGCTGGATTGAGTTGGTCAGTTTGAAACAACTTGTCACACAAAGATTAAAATAAGGACATCCATATGTACACTTTTTTATGTACATCAAGCATAATTCTTAAAATGGTTCAATTTTTGGATCTAAAGTATCATTAATATAATCATCCAATGTCAATAAATTTGAAAATTAAAATAGTACAATCAACCCAATATCCATCAAAATAATTATCCAAAAACGATTATACATTTCATTAAATGCTGGGGCACAAAACTGTTGGCAAAAGCAAAAATCCGTTGGCAAAAAAACGTTGAAGGCTGCAGGAGAAGAACTAAATTCAATTTAGAATAAGGCATATCAAGGGAAGAAATGATTTTTTTGCTTCTTTTCTACGAATGTACTTGGATACTTCTTACAATTATTTGTCAAATGATTGCCCAATGTGCTGGTACCACACTTCTTAGTGCCACAAGTATAATTTGCTCCACAATAGTTATATTTACACCTAACATCTGGATCATCACTAGAGCCCAATAATGTATAGTGATTCCAAACATATGAAGCTAATCTATTAGATTTCCGCTTACCAAATGTTGACGATGCACGTGAAGGATGACCCGTTTGCAAATCTGTGTCATTTGATGGAGCTTATGTGCCATGTACTTCACATTCATCCATATCTATCAACATATTCCACCAAAATTATAAACACGCCAAATAAATATATTCAATTATAAGTATTAACGCAATACAAAAAAGCAAGAATACTGTGTCTGTGGCTATGGCCATGGCCATTTCCTTAAGTAATATTCCAATTTCCAAATATCAAATAGCAACAATATATGCTTCAGCAAATCATGAATCAAAAAATCAAAACCAATAAACAAAATCATTCTATAGAAGTAATTAAAAAAAGAAAAAAAAAACACACACATTGGTGGATTATTTTATTCGACTAATATGAAATTCAAACACATAGAAGTAAGGAGCCAAGAGACTTATGATAAGGTACCTTAATTTTTCTTTGTATGCAAATCACCAAACATATTTGGCAGCATTATAATGGCGTGATTTGTCTTCAGATATTGTCTTGCTTGAATTGAATATCTTCATTCTATAGTAACAAAGAAAGGAGAAAAAAAGAAGAAGGGAGAGATGGAAACAATTGGAATTATTGAATCTGCAAATCCCCTATTATCAAGAAAATCAGTTTAGACAACGAAATGCTTGAATTTGCAAATCTTGATTAGTGATTAGAGACTTGGTAAAGAAAATAGAATATACACTTTCACCACATAGAATATATCGACAGTGGCAAGTAAGGAAGAATGGGAGATCGACAATGGCATTGATTTGAGGTCTAGATCGGGGGAGCAAGAGAGAAATGAAAATTAAGGCTGCAGGCTTGTTGACTGATCTTGTATATTTAATTGATTCTTTTTTTTTTAAATAGGCGGGTCGGGTTGGGTGGTTTATATCGGGATTTGATGGGTTAAGCCATCACCCAACCCAACCCAACTGACCCGATCTGCTTAGCTTAGCTTAGCTTAGCCACAAACCAAACCCACCAAAAAATCACAAAAAACTGACCCAACCCGACGGGGTTGGTTTGGTTCGGTGGGGTTCGACGAGTTTGGTCGGGTTTTGCCCACCCCTATTAGTCACTTTGTAGAACGTTTCACTTAAAGGCATTGAAATTGTCTGTGATATTTTGTTCACATGGATTGTAACACACCCCTTTAGGGCTCATTTGACATAACTTTTAAAAAGTCAAAATTATTTTTTAGACTAAGAAGCTACAACACATTTGAATAATTTTCTGAAAGTATTATCTTTTAGAGAAGTTGATCTAAAGGAGCTTATTCGAGAATTTTTATAATAAGCAAAAGAAAATTCAGAACCCTGCCGAATGGACCTTTACTGTGTTACCGTTTTGAGAACATTGTAGGCAACTTCTTGCTGTATGAGCAATTGATCTAATCTAGCAAAGGATACTCGTTTTACAGTAAAATTGCCAGACACCAATATGAAGCTAAAAATCAACAAGAATTATCCAAGAAAATGACTTCTCACGCTATACTAAAAATTTGGTCGCAAGTTTAGAATTAAGCTCATAATTTTACAAAGAAGATTTACACAATCTCTTCATGTCTTCTACCTCAAATATTGTCTTCAAGAGAAAAAATAAGAGTTGTAACCGAAGAGCATAGAATGACTTCTGTAAGGTTACATGCCGTTTTCGCTGAAACCATGTTGGGCTATGAAGCCTAAATTTTTACCTTATAACCAAAAATATCAAACCATCTTTGTGGCTTGTTTCTGTGAGAGAGCTCTCCATCCAATATCTTGACGGTAGAACCCTTCGGACCATTTAACTTGCTCGACACCTTGGTATGCATGATCTCTTGCTCTTCAAGATCCTTTCCTTTAGCAGTGACCCCAATAACACGTCCTCCTGTAGCGATGAAGTTTCCATCTGAGTTGAGCAGTACCAGCGTGAAACACCTTAACACCTGGAGCCACTTCCTCGGCTTCTTCCAAGTTTTGAATCACTGATCCCTTTTCGTAGTTTCCAGGGTACCCCTTGCTGGCCAAGACCACAACCATGGCTGAATCCGCCGATTTATTTGTATTTTGCTCTTTTCTTGTCCATAAAGAAGAAATCAAGTTGAAAATATCAGTTGGCATTTCAAAAACCTTCGTCAGAATGCGGACAAGGAGCGGCAAAAAAGTACCGAGAGTAAAAAGAGGAGGAACAAATTTTGTAGGTTTTATTTTTAAACTAATATTAATACTATATTACTTGCTGGCCCCCAGAATTCTTACATAATAACATTTAAACCCTTTGAATTTCAAGATTATTATTTCTATTTTTGTTTTAGTCAAAAAGGAAAAAAGAAAAATCAAGAAGCCTCTACTCAAGAAAAATTATATGTTCTTGACATTCTCATCTTAAATTGAGAGTCTCGTTATCAAGTCCATATTTATTTTTTGATCAAGGTCGAATCTCATAGAAAATCAATTTTATTCGTAAACAATTTGAAATTCAGTGGCCACTCAGAAGCATTTTAAAATTCAGTGAGTAAAATGTGATAGATGTATAAGTTCGGTGACTAATGAAACATGATAAGTGAGTAATGAAATACAACGTGTTAAAATTCAGTAACCCTTCAAAAATATTTTAAAAGTTCAGCGGCTTACGAAATATAGTGAGTGAGTGCAACATGATAAAATTCATGATCATTCCGAAACATTTTAAAATATTTAACTCAAAATAATGACTCCTTATTCTTATTTAAAACTAATTTATTAGATAAACATAAATCAAAAGTGAACAAAATGAAGGAAAATTAATAAGTAATTAACTTTTTGTTCAATTACCTTCTTTTTGAGGCAAAGTTGATTTGTTTCCATATACTAAAACTTTTTGAATGGGGGAATTTTTTTTACTTCCACACTAAACTTCGTACTAAATTTGCTAAAAAAAATATGTAGGGAAATGTATTTGTAGTAATAAAAATCCTATATAATCATTACATGTGAGTCAATCAAAAGTTATTTTTAGGTGTTTAATAAATTTAACGATACTGATTATTTAAATTTAACAATATTCGAAATAAATTTGATAATAGAAAATTAAATCTTATGCATTAAAGATATTTAAACATCCTTCTACTATATCAAGCTTTTATATTAAAACCCCCCTAACCTGTCGAGCTGCCCGGACCCCAACCATCCCGACCCTACCCACCCAAATAAAAAAGAAAAAAGAAATCAAGAGGAGAACGGAGGGTGGAGCCGGAGCAACCACCCCCCGACGAACACCCCAGTCGACGAAGAGAAACGAGAGAGAAGAGGGTTTAACGGAGAGAGAGAAGAGAGAGGAGTTAGGAGTTAGCCAATGTAAAGGTTTCTTGTGGATTCCTTATTCTTATTTAAAACTAATTTATTAGATAAACATAAATCAAAAGTGAACAAAATGAAGGAAAATTAATAAGAAAATAACTTTTTGTTCAATTACCTACTTTTTGAGGCAAAGTTGATTTGTTTCCATATACTAAAACTTTTTGAATGGAGGAATTTTTTTTACTTCCTCACTAAACTTCGTACTAAATTTGCTAAAAAAAATATGTAGGGAAATGTATTTATAGTAATAAAAATCCTATATAACCATTACGTGTGAGTCAATCAAAAGTTATTTTTAGGTGTTTAATAAATTTAACGATATTCGAAATAAATTTGATAATAGAAAATTAAATCTTATGCATTAAAGATATTTAAACATCTTTCTACTATATCAAGCTTTTATATTGTAATTTTATGAATGAGATATAATAGATATTTTATTTTTATTTTAAAATAATTAAATGAACATTTTGTCTTAGAAGAATATTTGATAAAATTACATATTATTATAAAAATAAATTTCATAATAATAATCAATGTCCATTTTAGCATACGACTGATTCTTTATTCAGTATGGCAAAAGTTGGTTATCCTAAAGCACAACAGTGTCAAACCAAGACTTATTTACTAAAAATTTTTGAGTCATCCATTTTATTCAAAAAGAGCATATAGTAGCATTTATAAATTTCTCTAAAAAAGAAATTACCTCAGATAAGCCAAGGGTTATCGTTTTGTTGTAGTTTATAAAATATACAAAATAAAGATTTAGGAAGTCCCATAGCTGTGAAAACGGTGGATACTTTTCTGGTTGGAAGGTTTCGACTATGAAGGAGCGAGTTAGCTACATCAGCGCTCAAATCCCTTCATCGTCATTGCCCTGACTTTGATGATCAACCCCTAGCATGTTTTGATCTTCGAAAATCTTGGTCCTCAGGACAAACACAATATTCTTCTTAAANATTATTCTTCTTAGATATTTCCTTTAAAGCAAAAGGTGTTGATACGTCCTATCCACATAGAAAGCTTACCCTCTTCCACACATTTCCGGTGGATGGTACTGCCGCTATCACTTTGGCTGCAGGAGGGGAATGGATAAGGCAAGGGTTATCGTTTTTGTTATAGTTCATAAAATATATAGAATAAAGATTTAAAAAGGCTTGTATACCAAACCATAACCATATTTTGCCGTGTCAAATCTAGTCATACAATCACCATAGCATGCCAAAACAATACTCAAATTCAATTTCGTTAACGCTCCCAGATACACATTTAGTAGCATACAGCTAAAAAACACTGGCACACAATCTGGCAGCAGCCTCAACCATTCTTCTTTCACAAACCCGATTACAGTTAAACCTTTTGCTACGCTGGGGCAATTAATGTAATTCACCGAAGCCAGACTGCTCAACAAAACATAGCGACATGTGTATGTGTTCTATATATATAGATCGATCAACTAACGGCAGCAGTACACACCATTCCAGATTTGTATTTACAGTTCAGCAACAAGAAAGCAGCAAGCAATCTACCTTGTTAAATTATCTCCATATCAATCAAGTCAATCGCAACAACGGTGAGATCCATAGCTCAGCCAATTAGTATAACTCCATCGTCGTGACACCTAGACAAATTCTGGTGTTATATTTGTGTATGCTCACTTTATCACTTCACTTCTCCTATCGCTAACCAGTTTTGACCTAAAGGATCAGAATTTCTTCAGCCTACCGAGTAGTAAAAATACATCAGTATCCGTAGCATTCAGGTATAACTGAAGTGTCCAAGCATTTTTGTCTACTCCAGCATTTCTTACGCCAGATTTGTCCAACAAGAGAGAATCTCAGCCAAAATCAGATGTGTGCTTTGATATAGTAACTGACCAAGCATTTCACTGCAGAAGCATCTAATGAGATTACCTCTCGCAATAAAACTATAAATATCATTGTGAAAAAAAATTCAAGAGAAGTTAACTGGTGATTGAAAAAATCTATCCAGTTTTTTACACGGAAAAAGCAAACTCCAAGGCTTCATTATATGTTCGAACAGTCTATAATCTTCTTTATATTTCCTCTGCAACTGTTTTCTTCAATACTCTTAAATTTTCTCGTGGGTCTCATTTCTTGTAAAATACTAGATCTCATAATTATTAATTTGATTAGTCAAGCTTCAAATGCAAATATTGATTACTATCTTCCCCAACCTCAAATGTTCCCATCCAGCATCTGGGAGGGGAAGGGAGGTAACCAATTTAACAGAAAAATAAAATTGATAATAAAAGTTAACCAAACAACACGATCACTTGAAATTTAATTATTGTCAGAGACTCTAATAATGGTACAAGTAGCCCAGTTTTTGGGCTCAGATTAAGATTGCTTATTTTGAACCAGCCTCCAAATTTTAGCATGCTACACATGTTTTTCAAATTTTGGGTTTTAGCTTGATAACCCGTTAGTTCATTTTGGTTTATCATTTGAACTAAACCAGGTTCCAATTAAAAAAAAAAGAGAGAGAGAGAGAGAGAGAGATGAAAATAACTATCACAGAGGTGAAACTTACCATATACAACAAAACTACGAACCAGAATTGGACTTTTGGATCCACACTTGTTTCTGCAATTCCATCGTGATAAAAGATGAACAAATCAGTAAAAGTACAAGTAAAGAAGAAAAAGAAACTGCTTGTTTTAAGTTTGAAATTAAAGCATACCTCATGTGAACCATATCCAGAAGAACCTCCACGTTTTAAGGGTTTCCCCTCTACAATTGAGGGGCAATCTGCATCCTTGATATTGTATGCTGGTCCACGACGACCACCATGCCTATAAGAACCTATATCAATTCATAACTCATAAGTGCACAGGTATAAGCATTATACTATCTGCTCTTTCACCAAAACAACCAACCAACCATTATCAACTGAGTAATGATTTCCACGTCCACTTCCAGATGGTCTGAACTCAGCACCATGCACACTTGGCTTGTCAATTTTCATTTCTCCATGAGTTCCTACAAACTTCACTATAAATTTTTGTCCAAGACTAAACAAAATGTAGCTAATCCATATCCATGGCATATTGTGCAAGTAATATGAGGTTGGGACTTCGAATATTATCATTTCAGTAAAATGTGCAAGCACATAACTGAAATAATTTCTTCCAAATTCCATAAAATACAATATTTAATCACCACACCTTCTGCAGGATCCACTTCTGGAGTGGTTTGGGAAGTATATGATGATAAAGACTCGTCACTTGCATGTGAGCTATCTGAATGCCGAAGAGGAGTCCAAACTCCACGGTCAGGCCTATCCTTATTCCTTGTCCTTCTTTCACGCTTCTCTGCGTGGACAGCATGTATAGCATAGCCAACAGCCTTATTATCAGGAGCCCCAGTCATGTCCTTCTGAAACAACCGCACATTTGGAGGTCGAGGAGGTTTTTTTTCCCTGTCCTGGTTTGAGGTTTGGATTTCTTGTTCAGATTGAGCACCAGACAATGATTGACCTTGACGACTATCCTTGTTAAGAAGAATGCTCCTGATGACTCTTCCACTAGCTTCACGTCTCTCGTTCTGTTTGAAAGCAGTTGAATAGGATAAGTTTTGCCAGGAAATCTGATGCAGTAGTGAACAGCCAGAAGAAGAACAAGAAATGAAACAGAAAGTGTTGTTCATTTCCTTTTTATTGGCCATAATTGTGCACACTCTTGAGTAGATTACTCACATGATATTAGAATAAAATGGGGCTTGACACATACAACATTTTATATTAGATGGCAATTGAAATTTTTATAACATGATGGCAGAGGCCCTACTCACAATTGAGATTCTAGGGCCGACACATTAGAGCAGATGAAAAGTCGGTAAGAACAACTGTTGCCCTACTGGAAGCTTATAAAATTTTCCTCCCACCCTAAGTATGGTTAAAGCTAAAGTTGGGACAAAACACGTGCACCTAATTATCGTACAGCTTAATCATGGGTTCAAAGCACCTATATCTGGGGCACACCTGTAACATATATTTTCTCTAAGGTCAGGGTGCCGTTCCCAGAAGATGTAAGCTGCCAAATCTGCCTCTAAACACAGACATCTACTAAAAAGGAGAGGCAGTCATGTGTCCACAGCCACTAATTGAAGGTTCATTGAAGTAAGATCTCCACCATTCATCTCATTCATTTAGTAAATAAGTCAAGACCCACTACAAACAAAGAAGGTGCTTGAGATTTTAGTAGATTAGGGTAGTTCAGTGTAAGCTATATAAATACTCTCAGTTCTGCTCAGCAGAAAAGTCCAAGCCAAGAGCTTTTCGAGGTATGCATCCTTCCGGAAGACCAATACATCTGCCTATCCATTTGAGTTAAGCATGATTCAAAAAAAAAAAAAAATCAAAATCCCACGAAACAGCACTACTAGTTACTTTTCAAGGATGATTGATGAACTGGCTATCAGCAAAGAACGCATCACCACGATAGAACTCGCCAACTCAAATCACAATTTAAAAGTTACATTTAAGGGTCATATTAAGGATTTCAAACAACATACAAGCTCGTTCGCACTTTACATCACAGAAGCTGAAGTCTCATCCCATGTCCTTTACTGACTGTGCCGAACATTTTTCTGCACTTACACAGTAACACTTGGGTTAATTTTACATCTGCACTTACGCAGGATCACTGATCTTCGATTTGTCCCAAAATGGTCAATTAACTTTCATTTTTTGTTTCCACGTTGAACAATTTTTAACTCATTAGTATTACTAACTAAAAAAATCTTACATGGTGCTTAATACTAACGAAGTGCTGATGTGGCATAGTAAAAATAAATAAAATGTTTATTTCAAATATAAAAAGAGTAAAAGAAGTATAAAAAGATAAAATAAAAGGGGAAAAAGTTTACTTCTTCCCTACAAACCCAACCTGCCTCACCCCCATTGCCAGTTCCATCTCCAATTGCCGCCCAATCCAAACCCATCTATATGAACTACCCTAAACAAGGACTCGTAGATTTTGAAATCGGCATACCCCTTTGCGAAGAGAAGTTTGGCCCATCAACATGAGAATGATATTGTAGAAAACCGAGAATGGAAAGGACTGGGAATGGAAAGTGTAAATAATTATAGAGATTGCAATTTTAGAATAATTGGTAGGATTAGTTGTTTCCTTTCTTAGCAGATTATTTTCCCTTTATTTTTCATCTTGTGTAATATAAGTAGATTGTAATAGGGCTTGTTAATATTATTGAGAAATACAGAAATCCTTATTTCTCTTCATGGTATCAAAGCCAGGTTCTCCTAACCTAGCGATCAATGGCGGAGTTACCCGTCAATAGCAAAGAATCATCAACCTCTGAAACTTCTTATCCAAAAGCAGAGAACAATTCTTCTACGGGTTCCAATATTACAGAAAATCCCTCCTTCAAACTCACAATAGAGAAATTAAATGGAAAGAATTTTAGGGAATGTGCCCAATCTATAAAATTGGTAATAGACGAAAATGGAAAATTAAGTTACCTTACCGGCAATACCAAGAAGCCGAATGATGCTATCCTTCTCCAAAAGTGGAAGTACGAAAGCTTTTATGGTAACAACGTGGCTCGTAAATTCCATGAAGCTTTCCATAGGGAAGACTCTCTTCCTTCCAACGGCAAAAGATGTTAGGGAAACGTATTCCGAAGCAAAAGACTCGGCACAAATTTTTGAAATTAGAACTCGAATGTAGTAGGCAAAGCAAGGATCGAGGGAGGTTACAAAATACTACATGAAGATGGTGTCTTTATGGCAGGAACTCGACCTAAAGTATGGAAGAAGAATGGGAGTGTCCCAGAGATAGCGCGAAATACAAGAAGAAGGTCGAGAACGAACGGGTTTTTGAGTTCCTGGCATGTATAGCAAAGCATCAGCGTACATCTTTTCCAACTTCCATACACAAACCATCTAAACCATTTGCCGTGATTCACAATGATTTATGGGGACCTTCCCGCAACAGTACCCAAACCAAATGGTGTCAGTCATATATATCGACGATCACACTCGAGTATGCTGGGTTTACCTACTAAAAGAAAAAACCGATGTTCGTTCAATATTTATAAATTTCCACTCTATGATTCAAACCAATTTCAAACACAACTTCAAATTCTGCACACTGATAATGGCACAGAATACTTCAATACCACCCTACAAGAGTATCTGACAAAACATGGGATAATCCACCAAAGTTCTTATGTCAACACTTAACAAAATGGGATTGCTGAACAAAAAAACAGACACCTACTTGAAATTGCTCGTGCTCTAATGTTCACTACAAAGATGCCAAAAACATTCTGGGGAGATGCCATTCTAACCTCTACATATCTCATCAATAGAATGCCTAGTCGCACTCTCTCCTTCAACTCACCTATACAAAGACTCCAGAAATATTTTCCTACTTCTCGTCTTAGTTCAAATCTACATCTAAAATTGTTTGGAAGTATTGCATTTGTGCATGTTCACTCTCATCATCGAACCAAACTTGAACCGCGCACAATCAAGTGTGTATTTATTAGGTACTCACCTACTGAAAAAGACTATAAATGCTATAACCCGTCTACAGAAAGGGTATTTGTCAGCCTTAACGTCACCTTTTTTGAAACACACCTTACTTCAAAAAACCTTCTCTTCAGGGGGAGAATCTACGTGAAGATCGATTCTAAAATCAAGAATTCTTAGACTTCAATCTTTCCTCACGAGACCTAACATATACAAAGCATGTCACCCTACCGTATAATGTGCCATACACAGAAGGAAACTTAAATCCAGTGCGAGATGGTGGAAAACATAGTGACGAGGAAATAATGGTTTACTCAAAAAATCCAAGTCAGAGTATAAGGAAACTCTCATACCTAAGGCACCAAGAGAGTCGAAACCAGTGATAGGACCTAATGAAAACCCCTCCAACAATCCTAGATCTCCATATCAAAACCTACCTATTGTTCTCAGAAATCAAACTCGGTCACGTATTCTCCACCCTATTTCGAAATTCATCTCTCATAATGTTTTTTCTACAGGGTTGCGTACCTTTACTGCTAACCTTGATAAAACGGATATCCCACAAAATATTCAGGAGGTCTTGGAATCGCCTAAATGGAGAGAGACAATAATGGAAGAAATGAAAGCCTTGAAAAAAAAATGAAACTTGGGAAGTGGTAAACCTACCGAAAGGAAAGTGATTTGTAAGCTGCAAACGGGTCTTTAATGTGAAATACAAAGCTGATGGGATAATAAAACGCTATAAAGCTCATCTAGTTGCCACAGGATATACTCAAACGTATAGCATTGACTACACAGAAAATTCGCACCGATGGCAAAACTAAATACAGTTCGGGTTCTCTTGTCTTTAGCAGTGAATCTAGACTGGCCTCTTCAACAGTTGGACATTAAAAATACATTCCTCAATGGAGAACTAGAAGAAGAAGTCTTCATGACTACCACCAGGCTTCTCTTCAATAAAAGAGATGAGAAAAATCAAGTGTGCAAACTCAAAATCTTTATATAGGCTCAAACAATCGCCAAGAGCGTGGTTCGATAGATATGCAAAGGTTTTTTTTTATAGGTTCAAACCAGATTTGCAAAGGTATTGAAAACACAAAGATATCAACAAGGCAGTCGGATCATATCATGTTCTTCCAACAATCTAGAGATGGGGTAAGGACCATCCTAATTGTATACATGGATGATATAATGGTAACAGGAGACAATATAGCTGAGATGGAAATGTTAAAAAAGTGCTTAGCCCCTGAATTTGAAAGTAAATAGGGATGGCAAAAAAACCCGACAAACCCGATACCCGCGGGGACCCGCCCCGAACTGGGAGAGGAAAACCCGCTTAAACGGGTAACGGGGCGGGGAATTATTCCCCGAGGCGGGGACGGGGACGGGTAACGGGGTCCNTGGAAAGTTAATTTATCTCTCACACGCAAGACCTGACATAGCTTTCGCAATCAACTTGGTAAGTTAGCACATGCACTCTTCTACGGAGGCCCACCTGGAAGTAGTGTATAAAATCCTCAAATATCTAAAAAACACCTCTTAGAAAGGACAATTCTTCGAAAAAATTAGAAGGAAAGGAGTGGAAATATTCACGGACGCAGACCAAGTTGGATCAACAGTAGATAGAAGATCTAATCTACTACATTTTATTACACCATTGCATGGGGAAACTTTTTAACTTAGAGAAGCTAGAAACGATCTGTAGTGGCGCGAAGCAGCACTGAAGTTGAATTTAGATATGTTGCACAAGAGATATGTGAAGGATTATAGATAAAGAAACTTGAAAAAATTAAGTCTTGAGTAGAATAAGGATAGTTTGAGATAACACTATACAAAACAGCAATCAACATGTCTCTCAACCCAGTACAACATGATAGAACCAAACATGTGTAAGTGGACAGACATTTCATCAAAGAAAAGGTGGATGATGGAATTATTTGTGACATATGTCCCTACACAAGCAAACAGCAGATATCCTCATCAAAGGATTGTCTAAACAAATTTTGGACGACCTCAATCACAAGTTGAACATGGTCAACATCTACCATTCAACTTGAGAGGGAGTGTAGAAAATCGAAAATGGAAGGGATTGGGAGTGGGAATGGGAATGGGAATGGAAAGTGTAAATAATTAGAGATTGTAATTTTAGAATAATTGGTAGGATTAGATGTTACCTTTCTTAGCAGATTGTTTCCCTTTATTTTTCATCGTGTAATATAAGTAGATTGTAATATTATTGAGAAATACAAAAATCCATATTTCTCTTCAAATATAGGTTGTATTTCAACCATACATGCCACTAATAATGTTCATTTATCAGTGCGACAAAGAAACAAAAGATTTTGTAGTAATAGTTTTTGACGTAGGTTATACTTAACAATATTGCAAAATTTTATTAGCGTATCTGACCTCGGATCGGTCTTGAATCCTTGGACACAAATTCGTGTTTGGGCTATGACTATAAATGGTTAAGTGCCATTAAGATGGTTAGTCAAAACCTCCTTTGAGTGAAGCTTTGTTGAGGTGGTATAGGTGCTTGCATTGGCAGTGGGTCAAAAATTGACAAAGTGAGGGGTAGGCGCAATGTTTAGAAAGGCTAAACTGAGTATCGAAATGTTTTACCTTTGTGAGGCGATGCACAAGCCTATGGACATTTTGAGGAGTAAGCATCAAGACCAATCAATAAAATAAGTCAAAAGAATATTAAACTACAAAAATATGCACATAACAAAACAACTTCAAAGATATAAATAATATTACAGAAAACGCAAAATATAGAAACTTCAAAAAATATATGCAACATTCTATGTTATAAAATATTATTCCAAAAAGCTAAGGCCATAGTGCATTGCACAAAATAGGCAAGGCATACGGGAGAACACCTCAGTAACAATGAGGTTTAGCCTCGATGTGTGAGCCTTCACTAGGTCGAGGCATAAGCCACAATAAGTCATGCATAAGCCTCATAAATGGCAATTAGGAGTACGCTTTAAGCATTTAATGAAAGCTTCAAGTGAGAAGGACATGAAGCGTAAGCCTCAAAAGGTTTTTTCAAACAATGAGTGGAGGATTGGAGGTGGTTAGGTAGAACATGGGTTCGATTTTAGCTTTGGATTGATAAGTTTTCGAGTGAGTAATCTTCTTTTTTTTCTCTCTCTTTCATTATTATATTAGATTGCCTCGTTGGAAATCGACGTTTTATGTTAGTGTTAGATGCAACATAATTACAAAGAGTGACTCACTTCAAGTTACTAGAAACAAATTTCACCCCATTCAGGAAGAAAACAACAAAAAGTATTCTAAGCGTGTCTCACATCATCCATTATCACTCTCTCCATTCTCGTTCACTTTATAGGCATGCAGTTAAATCAGGTACGCCTAAAACAGAGAATTTTTTCTATGTTAATTTACATATATGAGTAATACAAGAGTAACTAATCTCGACCTGATCTTAGATAATTTTCTCTTCCCTTTTAAAATAGCAAGTTTACGGCCCCTATTATATGTTTCAAGGAAGAAAAGATCTGAATTTTTTGGCAAACTTCATTAAGATTTGCAGTGACTGTATGCTTAACATTATAACTTGAGGCAACAATTGATGGTATTACTAAAAATAGGACATGCTCATGAAAAATAACCTTGTACACTACTTGCAAATACCTAATTACGCGTACTGCTAAATTTACAACTTGCCATGAACTTTTATCTTGTTTCTAGTTTTCAAGTTAATCTCTGTGAACTCATTAGATATGCTTCTCCACATTTTCCACAAGTTTTATTTGTGTGCTAGAATACCTAGAGTTTAGAACTGCATTAAGTAGAAATAAAAACAGCTTAGTAGTCTTTTTTTTTTTTATAGATAATCCAAAGTTTTATTCATCAAAGAAGAATACACAGGAAGTGTATTACCAGTTTAAACAAGAAAGAAAAGATATGAAGTTAGGTTTACCTGTCTACATAGCTAACATTTGTGTACAAGAGATAGTTGTAGACGAAGTCAAAATTACGAAGTGGTATGCAACTGCAGTTCATGAAAAATGCTTAATCAGAAAGCAACTAGTTAAATGAGTTCCCAAAATTGAAGGGGAAAAGGACACAACAATGGCATTATCATTTAGTCACCTGTCAGAAAGTAGTACAAAATGCTGGTTATCAGGATCTTTGAGTNAGTCACCCGTGGAGGTAGTTTACAATGCCACACCATCTTCCAGGGGAACGACTGCTCCACAGGTCCCACAAGGGATTAAAAATAAGAGCGAACTGAAAAAATATCATTCCGTGCCAACCTCCATCGACCACGATCACCCTCTCCAGCTCGAATTTTCACATCATACAAATGAGATAAAAACAATGCATAATCATCCAGTTCTCCAATGTACTAATCATCTCATCTAAAAGTTTAAACTATTAAAGAGGAGCAACATTTAAATTGTGTCATCAACAAGCTCCCTAACATTAAGGTTGGGTTCACTTTTCCATCAAAGCTCTAGTGGGTGCATAACATCTAATAAATGGATAGCAGCGAGACTTGAACCTAGATCTTTTGTCTTCACTCTGATACCATATTATCCATATAATACGACACTTTCATAAGTTGGACACAATAAATTGTAGAACTATTCTTATTCCTCGTAAATACTGTCACCATTTAAAATTTTTTGGACAAAAACCCTACATAAATGGAATTATAGGAGGCACGCAAAAGGATCTACTACAAGCTTGGCATCATGTTAGTGGTTAAAAAGGCTAAATTGGGTATCAAGGCATTTTTCCCCTATGAAGAAAGGCCTGACCTCAAAATAAACCAATAAAATAATTCAAAATTTAAAAATACAAAAATTATTATCATAATGAAATCTAAAACATCTGAAAATAAGATCATCGTGTTTTAGTTGTAAGCGGATAGGGCAGGTCTTGCTTCACTTATTCCTAACCTTTTTATCAGTTCCCATATAAAAAAATTCAAAAACCCTTAAAACTTTCTAAGCTATGCATCAGGCTCCTTGTATGCATGCGAATCACTTATTAAAATTCAAATGGGAATAAAAACGTGGAATTTGTGAAGAAGCAGCAACATTCACGCCTTCAAACAAAAATATAACTGAAACCAATTGATGAAAGACTCTTCTTTTAAGCAAGCAGAACCTCAATATTCTCTGAGAAAGAATATCAAACATGTATACACTGATTGTCATCTGTGGGTGCAGATGCAATAATAAAGCCAAGGTGCAATAATAGTGATGGATCAAATTATTTTTCTCAGTTTATAAAATTTTCTCCATTTCCTTTTTCTCTCCAATATTGCTATCTGAATTGAATCTCTCTTTCTCTATAAGCTTGTGTTGTTCCCATATCGATACAATTGAAAAAAAAAATGTATTCATTCAGTAATCTTGAAAGTTCAGCATACTCATGAAATTACAATTCATTCAGAAAAGGAAAGACAAGAAAACTAGTTTAACTCTTGAATTTCGGCCTTTTTCTAATTTATTATAAGCAAATACACATATTTTATTAATAAAAAAGAATAACTTACAGTAGAACTTTCTCTCTCTTTTCCCTTCAAGAGCAAGATTTTCTTCTTCCCAATATCAGTGGATCCAGGACCCCCTGAATTAAAGTCAAAGCATCACATAAAAATGAGACATGATTGATAGTAGTGGCAGGAAGAATGAACAGGCAGGACAGATACATGCACGGAATACTGAGAGAACCTCCTGCTCTAATCTACTCTAAGGAATCAATTAAAAGACTTTGAAGATGCTAGAAAGTTCTTTACATGATTATATTAATTAGACTTCCTTCGTGCATATGGTGGGGTAATGAAGGTATGGTTGCTCAGTGACAATGATCCACTTGCATTTCTATGTGAACCTTGCTCGTGCTCAAAAGCATTTAACATTTTCTCGCAATTATTTATGGAAGGGACACTTTTTACATACTTTTTACTCATCTTTGTAGCAAAAGATAAAGGATCCGTTCGGTGCAGCTTAAAATCCAATTAAAATTGAAAATATGGCCGTTATTGGGTCTCACCCGTCTAATAAAAATCAACAATAACGGCTAGTTTTTCAATTTTAATCTAATTTTAATCTCTACCGAACACGCCCAAAGTATCAAGTTAAGTTTGAGTTGTAGTAATGCTATAAAGCTGCACACACTTGTGCATAATTACACTCCTGAGTCCTTAATAAGCCTCAAAGTTACAGGTAATAGTATCAACATATCTATTTGATTCGGAAGAATTGAGCTATTAACACTGTGCAGCTCCACTTCCCATGGTGATGATGATTCAATCAAATATTGCCAGCCACTCTAGGAATCCATGCATGATATGAATTATGTCATTCCATTCTTAACAAAAACTATATGCACAAAACACTTATCTAATCTCCCTGGAATGTAGATCAGAAGGACATAAACAACCAAATGTTTAGACCTCCAGTGGTATAATCACGTAAAGCCTGAGGGAGGCATTAAAATGTCCCCATTACCATTACCAAGATCATAAATAATCTGAAAATAAGAGCCGACAGTCAAAAAATATTTCATCTTCGCTCTTGTTGTAGAATATTCAGGTTGAAGATCCCAGTGTAAAGGTAGAATCTATAGTGATATAGATGTCAACTGTTATCCCACTTATTATGGCAAAGTAGGCAACTCATATCATGCTATATTTTTCAGTTAGAATATCTTCTAGAAAAGTTTCCAACTTCCAGAAAATTCATAAATTTCAGAAGTTAACAGGCAATACAGAAGGTTTCACACTTCTTCCTGTTACCCTTCATTTGGAGGGGTGGGAGTGGAAGCAGCGGCTGGGGGAATCTGCAAGGATACAGTATAACCTCCATAAATTATTAAGGTCTGGACCGGGAGATTATTTATATAATAAAGGTTATTAATTTATGGAGGATAAATTCATCCCATTAGTTCAAGTTGGGAGCCTTATTAATTTATAGAATATTAACTTACAGAGGTTATAATGTATTTCATTTCAGCATCATTTAACAACACTCCACAGTTTCAAATCGAACATATTGATAATGATAAATATAGCTTCTGGTCATTCAAAGTCAACAAAGAACTTGCAGAATAAAAACTTGCATGTTACAGAAGTAATGACAATGAGATTGTTTATACGATTATGAAAACCTCATATAGATAGAACACATTTAATAATCAAGAATCCAACAGTGTGCCATACCACTTTCCTCTTCTAATGCAGCAGTTCCGGATGCAGCAGTTAAAATAACAGACTTATCAGCAAGCTGTTGATCATCTCGTTTGACCAGTATATATGTAGATTTGTCTTTGCCACTCACAGATTTTGAGCTGTCCCTTGAAACATACTGTTGATAAGTCAGTTCAGAAAGAGACAGGTTAATGAATACAACCATGAATCCACAAAACATGAAAAAAATGGCTTCTTTACTAACCACCAAGGCAATGTCTCACTTAGCGATTCTATATCACAAAAACTAAAATCATATAGAAGTACAAGAGAATGTAAACGATAAATCATTGACAATTCTAGTATATAGAGCATCTTCAACAGATCTCTTTATTTTAAAGAGAACATTTCCCAATTAAAAAGCATCTTGAAGAATTCTAATAAAGAGTATGACTTTGTATACAAGTCCAACAACACTCTTTATATTTATCTATATCTTAACTTTTCCATAAGAAATTATTGATCAACATTATCTCTCCTTTTTTTAATTTGTTTCCACTCTAAAGAAGTACAAAGATAACTTTTTTTTTTTTGATAGATAATCCAAAGTTTTATTCATCAAAGAAGAATACACAGGAAGTGTATTATCAACTTATACAAGAAAGAAAAAGACATAAAGTTAGGCAACCCCTCTATAGGATTACTAGTAGCGGCATTAAACCAACTATACAAAGTCAGGTAAAAGAATTCTCTAAGTTGCTCTGTGGTCCGTGTTTGATCTTCAAAACATCGATTGTTCCTTTCTCTCCACACACACCATATAATGCATCCCGGGATAAGATTCCATACAAGCTTGCTATTCTTATCCCGAAGCTTTCTCCTCCATGCCCGCACCACGTCCTCTATGCATCTTGGCAGAACCCAATCAATATGTTGAGAAGCCAGAATATTATTCCACAGCCAACGAACACCATCACAATGAATGAACAAGTGGTCATGCGTCTCCCCATCACCCTTACACATATAGCACCACTCGGTTACATAGAAACCTTTTCTTCGAAGGTTATCCATCGTCAATGCCTGTGTCCTGACAACCGTCCAAAATAAAAAGGCCACCCGTGGAGGCAATTTACATTGCCACACCATTTTCCAGGGGAAAGAACCCTCCACAGGTCCCAAGAGGGATCTAAAATAAGAGCGAACTGAAAAAATACCATTCTGTGCCAACCTCCATCGGCTACGATCGTCCTCTCCAGCTCGAATTTTCACATCATACAAATAAGATAAAAACAGTGCATAATCATCCAGTTCCCAATCCTGCAAATCCCTCTGAAAGGTAATATTCCAACTGTAACTCCCATTGTGAACGGCTAAAACGTCCTTCACCATAGCAGATGACGCCAAAGTAATGCGATACAAGGAAGGAAACCCCACCTTTAGCGGTATATCTCCACACCAACAATCATCCCAAAAACTGATATGATTACCATTCCCCACCACAAAAGTCAATTTGTCCCGAAGATCGCTCCAACCTCGTCGAATATACCTCCACAAACTCACCCCATAAGGCCCACGACTCTCACCAGAACACCAACCCCCCTCCATCACTCCATACTTCGCCCCAATAATTTCTCTCCAGAAGCTCTCCCTCTCCACTCCAAACCGCCACAGCCATTTACCCAATAATGCCTTGTTAAACAAAATGAGCCTCCTCAATCCGAGGCCCCCCATCCTCACAGGAGAGCACACAATTTTCCAATTGACCAAATGAAGTTTCTTCTCCTCTCCCAAACCAGCCCACAGAAATTCCCTTTGAATCCTCTCTAATCTATTTGCTACTGCAACAGGGATCGGAAACAGTGACAAAAAATAAGTAGGGATATTTGAGAGAGTGGATTTAATGAGAGTAAGACGGCCTCCCTTCGAGAGATACATACGCTTCCACCCTGCTAACCTCCTTTCCACCTTCTCCACAATAGCATTCCAGATATTTATACTTTTAAACCGCGCCCCTAAAGGGAGTCCTAGATATGACATAGGTAACTGCACCACCCTACAACCCAAAATAGCAGCGAGATCCTCCACGTTAGTGACCTCTCCTACTGGAATAACCTCGGATTTCCCCAGATTTATCTTCAAACCAGACACCGCTTCGAAGCAGAGGAGCAAACGTCGTAAGTTCCTGAATTGCTCCTCATCCGCGTCACATAAAATCAGCGTGTCATCTGCAAATAACAAGTGGGACACCTGCAGTTGACCCACCGTAAAACCCTTTATCAAGTTCTCCTGCCTCGCTTTCTCGAGCATCCTACTGAAGGCCTCCATTACAATAACAAACAGTAATGGAGACAAAGGATCCCCTTGTCTTAACCCTCTGCTACTCCGAAAATAGCCCTCAGGTGTGCCGTTGACCATAACAGAAAAAGAAACAGTAGAGATACAGAACTGAATCCACTTACACCACTTATCACCAAATCCACATCGTCTAAGCATATACATGAGGAACCTCCAGTTCACATGATCATAAGCCTTCTGAATATCAAGCTTGCAAAGCATCCCTGGAACCCCTAGGCGCAATCTTGAGTCAATGCATTCATTCGCTATAAGTACAGAATCCAAGATCTGACGACCCTTCACGAATGCATTCTGAAACTTAGACACCACCTTCCCAAGCACCTCCTTGAGTCTATTCGCCAATACTTTCGCAATGATCTTATACACCCCACTGACTAGGCTAATAGGGCGAAAATCCTTAATATCAGTCGCTCCAGGTTTCTTTGGGATAAGCACAATAAATGTAGCATTAGAACTTCTCAAGAACCTGCCACGCTCAAAAAAGTAAGTGAAAACATCAATAATATCCTGTCGCACCACCTCCCAACACGCCTTATAAAATGAGAATGAAAAACCGTCCGGTCCTGGAGCCTTATCATCATTCATACTAAACACCACCGTCTTAATTTCATCCTCTCCAAATGGTCGCTCCAACCAACCGGCATCCTCCTCCGTAATAGTAGAGAACTCCAAACCCTCCAACTCTGGCCTCCACTCAAACTGTTCCCGATATAGATTCTGGTAGAATCTTACCATATGGGTGCCAATATCCTGTGGATCCTCATAAGTAACCTCATCAACCTCCAACACTGTGACAGAATTGTTGCGCCTGTTAGAATTGGCTACCCTATGGAAGAACTTGGTGCATTTATCTCCCTCTTTCAACCACATAACCCTGGATTTCTGACGCCATGCGATCTCTTCCATCTCCACCAGCCTCACAAGCTCTGCCCTTAATACACCACGTCTCTCCTTTTCCTCCCCATCCAACCCTCGACTCTCCTCAATCTTATCCATCGCTTCTATGTCTGAAAGACACTGGACCTTACGAAAATTCACATTTCCCACCACCTCCTCATTCCACATTTTTAAATCCTTTTTTAATGCCCTCAACTTCCGGTCCAATATAAAACTGGGGGACCCCGAGAAATCATAAGAAGCCCACCAATTTCGTACACGTTCCCCAAAGCCTTCCACTTTTAACCACAAAGATAACTGAGAAACAGTGAATGAAAATATTGAAGTTTTAAATAGAGAGTAGGTTTGGCTCTCTACATATGTAGTATCAAAACCACTCTTTATTATAATTATTAAATATAAAAAGTTTGTTGGACCCTCAAAAAAGAGAGTTGAGTCTCTAAAATAGAGAGGATATGGTTAAAAAAGAGCATCTTGGAGATGCTCTTGGCAAACATATCCGTTTATGTTAAATAGAAAAAGAACGTAGAGATCCATATATACCACGACCAACACATCAGCAAGCAAATATATACAGTTCATGTTAACCCTCAAGTAGAAATAAAACTCAAAACACCATGGCACTCAAAATTAAAATGTTTTACTTCCATAAATACAATAAAGACCTCGTGCAAGCATTAGTAATAGTCTCCACATAGCAAGCGCAGTATGTGAGATATCATTTAGTATTTTAACAATCAAATGTAATGAATGTTCGAAGAGGAGAACAATGAAAGAAATCATGTTGCGTCATACATAAAACGTGGTAAAATAGAGCTTAATGCCAACCACAAAGAAATCCACAGGCGAAAATAAACCAAAGCTCCACATTATAATGAGCATCAACTCTGTGTCAATAGAAAATAACTTTATTCTAAAATGCATAAAGTGCTGCCACACGGCAAGGCAGGCTTAATCTTTTACAAGCCTAAGTGGCCTAGTGGAGCGTAGACATTAAAATGCATAGTGTGTCTAGGCGGCAAGGCTTCGCACCTACACGCTTTTTAGAACACGGGTAAATAATAAATAAAACAGTTTACCATGGTGGTGGAAGACCTCCTCTTCTCTGATCCTCTTCTTGAAGAACCTGAGCTAGGAGTCCTAGATGATGCTCCACTGCTCCTTTTAGGTGGCTTCCCATTCAACACGGATCTCTATCCACAATTGAGAAGAAAATATGGAAATGTTTTAGGACTTACTATAGAGGTCCCAAAGGAGTAAGACAACAAAAAATATATATACATAAAGAGATAATCCTATATTCTACCCACAAAAAAGGAAAACATTCAGAAATTTAAAAAAAAAAAAATTGCTACTGAAAAATCATTATGAATATATATTTTTGTGCACATGCAAATGTGCATGAAGAGAGAGAGTGAGTTATTAGAAACCTTCAGGAATAGATTTCCACTATCAATCACCAGTATAACCAAATTGATCAACACCTTCCACAGCAAACTATATATTTAATTATTCAAACTGAACCCACCCCTAAAATTTCCCATTACAGGAACTCAGAACACTAAATAATTCAGTCGCATAGGATGTAGGGATTCGGGGCCTTTTTTGTGGTAGTGAAGAGAGCAGTTGAAGAGCAATTCCATTCACACTCCAAGAACGAACACCCTCCACCCTTTCCCACCCATATAAAAATTAGATCAGAAAAATATACGCAAGTTGTGATTATGCAGTCCAAACTCTCCCACATTTTCCCATAACTCCAGATCCCAACAAAAGCTCCCTGTAGCAGAGACAATTAGTCCTCGATACAACCATTATAGTAATGTTATCAGTAAGGTCTTGAACATATCATTAATCTCCCTTAAGTTCTCCATTCTCTATACTGTAGATCTGCTTTCCAGGATACACATGAAATAATACTTGTGAAATTATATACAACCATTGCTACCATTTTCTAAACTAAACAGATGGATACATAGCAGTGTTGATAAAAAAGAAAACCCGAGTATAAAGTACTTGTTTTCATAGACTTGATAATTATAGGAAATGCCATGAAAATGAAACTGATGCAAGCTCAAATGCCAAGCAAGAACCAATTTGCTGATCCAGATAACTTTACATAGAAATAATGCCAGCCTATGATGAATCATTGGTCCTCATTAGTTAGCAGCCTAGATACAAATATATATTTCCTTAAAAAGGGGAAGTATAAAATCACTTTGTAGTGAACAAATGGTAAGATTTCCTACCCGAGTTACACTCTTTGCAGCTCTTTTCTGACGAACAAAGTCCATTAAAGGAGTAACTATAGGAGCATCCTTCGGAGCACCTAAAAAGAAATCAGGAAATCATTCAAACTAAAAAGAAAATGCAACCCTTGCTTGCTTTCACATTGTACCATTTCATAAATTAAATCTCAGATTGTCCTACGAGTACACATAAGCTAAAAATATCAACTCACCAGCTCGTTCCGACTCCTTCCTCTCCAACTGTATCTCTGCACTGGGAAGATTCTCAACAGGCTTCGCAAGAAATTCAACGAACTCCTGATATTCAGGATCTACATATATATCAACAAATCAACCATGATTCCAAACAAACAGATAATGGCATGGAAACCACATGCAATCAGCACACAAGTTAAACACCTTTCAATATGGCCCCTTCACGCCCATCCTTTTTAGACCACTGCTTTGGAACACGCTGTGAAGGAGCATACTCAACAATTGTTTTAATCTGAGTACCTGGAAGAGACAAGTAAGAAGGAAAACCCTCCATTTAGCAAACAAATTTTCAAAACTTACGTGCATCACTATAAAATTATAAAAATAGGTTTTCTCGTAATACAGAAATAAAATTTTATTTTGAAATTTGGAAGGACGGAACCTTAGCTACCATATAAAGTAGAAAAATGCAATTAAATAGCAAGGAATTATATAACTTTCTACCGAACATCAAGTCACGTCATGGATCGATCTCAAGAATGTCTTGAACGTTACCTTTCTCATTGACGAAGACATGTCCATCAAAATACTCCGCAAACTCGACAACATCCTCTGGTCTATTAAAGTCGACGTAGGCTCTAGAATAGAATAGATGCTTCTGGCTGCAAAAGAAGATGAAGGATGAATGACGGGCAGAGTGGAAAGGGTAATATCACCTTTGTAAAGCACATAGGTTGTATAATTGTGAACATATCGGTGAAACATCATTTTGGCAGTATTACATTTGCTTCTTGCCATTTTCCACCGCACCAGTCCTCCAAAAAATTAGAAACTATCTATTTTGTATAACAGGGAGCATAAATATAGAAAAAGGCACCGTGTATGCCAGCAATCAAAACTCTGATGGATCAAAGTAAAATCCAAATCTGATAACTCTATCTCTACCTAGAATGAGTGGAAGAAACCTTCACCATTTCCAAAAGGTCCTAGAACTCATAATGGCTTACTCAAAACCGGCATGCATCCAAATGTAAGGAACAGATCCTTAAATTCAAAAGGATTACTGTGATGGGAATGGTGATTCTCCTAGTAATTATGGTACAATTGCAAATACTTTTATCATAGCATCTTATTTCCGAGAAAAAGGAATAAAACCCACAGAGAAGCACCTATATGAACCAAAATATGTCCATATAAAAAAAATTATTTTTTCCATTGGACAAAAGTACATATGCATCAGTAAGAAACAAATATCAATCCCTCAGATAGATCGAGATTACCAAGTACAGTAAGTATGGGGATTAACATAAAACAATTTCACTCTTTCGTCACAGGTACAGTGAAATAAATCTATATTTCAACTTTTTCATCACTTCCCCAAACATGGAGCTAAGGTCCAAAATATGGAAGAAAGAAGAGTTTCCACTACTCTACCACCCCGTCAATTCGGTGAATCACAAAATCTTGGTGATCTTCTAACGAATGGGGAGTCTGCCTTCAGCCACACATTACCAGGACAACAAATATTGCACTGATCACTTCCAGCAAACTTTTATATCTTTTTCTTAAATATTTCTTGACAGTGCATGCCAGGGTAGCAGTCAATAAAATACTTCTACCTCGAGGGAACCATCTCTGGAGGAAAAATAAGAACAACATAGCTAAACAACAACCCTTCTATCAAATCCGTAAACCCTCACCCGCCTCCAGGATTCACAGATATTGTACATCTAATAAATTCCCCACCTCGATTCCATTTAACTCAAACATCCCTCACACAGGCACAGAAAGGAGAGCGTTTGTCGGGAAAAATTACTTCAAAATTAAAACCGTGTAAAAGAAAAAAGAGAAATCGAATCATCAAAATAAATTAATAAATGCGTCTATACTCAAAACATACGCACGATGTAGACATAAATAAACGTAATCCTAACCTGGTCTTGCCAGGATGAAAGGAGAGCCAACGGTAGCGACCAGAGAAGCGGGAATCGACGTGCTCGGTTAGCGCCGACTGAGAAATCGTGGGCGGCAAGTGCCGCAGCACCACCTTCGTTCGATCTAGCGGACCCTTCATGCGAAACAAGACCCTAACACAATCGTAAAGTTAATAATAAATATACTCAATTTGCCTCAAATTACTACTAAATTACTCCTTTGATGCCCTCTGACTACATCTTTAACGAAGTTTTCAGCATTAATCGTCGATTGATTCTTTTGTGCCCTAATTTTGGAAATTCGATTTCGAATGAACATGCACAAAAATATAGAGAATGTAGAGTCAGAGAACTTAAAAATTATGAAGAAAGCGACGGAGGATTTGTGCGAGACGTGTGCTCCTGTGCTTGTGTAGTTCGTGAAAAGTGCAATGAAATAGACCCCCAACGTTTAGAAAACTACAAAAACACCCCTAAGTTTGGGAGAATTCCATTAGGTATTTACAAATTGGTGAGAGTATTAGGCCTGTTTGAGCCTCATTTCTAGTATAGCATGTATTTTTGAATAATAGATTAATTAAAAAAAAGAAAAAAAAATTGGGTTGCGTGTCATATTATTTTATTAAAGAATTTGTGATTAAAAATAAGAGATGAAAAATTTTATTTTGAAAAAAATGGGGATGAAACGAAGGCTTATACTATTATGGGAAAATTGAAGTAGCAGTCCCTAATTTTTTTCAATTTTTGTAGATTTTACTCTAACCTTTAATTTGTGCCAACGAATGTTCCTAACCTTTCAAAAATATGCAGTTGGAATCCAAACGGATGGAAACCATCATTTGATCGTTAGTTGACCAAAAATTGATTTCGACCAAGTTTGGTAAGGGCAAAATGATAACTCCACAAATTTTAACATAAAATAATTTTTAAAAAAAATAATAATAAACCTACCCGCCTATCCCACCCCCCACTCTCACGAAAACCAAAAAGCCGATGGATCCATGTTTCCCTTCTTCCCCACTCCCAACCACATTGGTGGTCAAAACTGTCATCCAAAGGTCTGTCGCCACAACAACATCACAATGTTTGCACAATCGGTCGAAGGCTAGCATCACCACCCAAATCAGATTTTTCTTTCATAAATTTGTTGAAGATTTGTAATAGTTTTGATTTTCATTTTCCAATTTTTTGATATTCGATTGTGGTTGTGGGGATTTGACACTCACTAGTCATGGTGGCGATTGGTGGAAATCTGATTCTTAGATTTTTGGTGTCAATTTTGAAATCGGCGATGGAATTGTTATTTTTGCTGGGGTTTGAGGCGTTTTGAAATTGCAGAGACTGTTGGTAATTTGAGATAGTGATGGTGGTATTGATTTAGGTTCAGCAACGTGTGGGTGTGCAATGGTGGCCACCGTTTGACGATGGGTAGGTTTTCTTGGGTAGATTTTCGAGAATATGGTGAGTTTTCTTTGTTTATTTTCCAATGTGTAATGGCAAATGTGGAATGGGCTAAAAGGTGGCGACAGAGGGTGCCAACACTGGTGGTGTGTGTTGGTGGTGAGGGGAGTTGTGGTGGCTGGGATGGCTCAAAGGTGGTGGGGTAGCTGTTTCTAGTAAGACTTGTCGGAGAAGAAGAGAGGAGGTGATTTTGATTGGTGGGGTGGGGAGTAGAAGATGAGGTGTTTTTGGTTTTTTATTTTTTGATTGTTTGATTTTATATGGTATGGAATTAACTAAGTTACCATTTTACACGTACCAAATTTGGTAAATTTTTTTGTCAACTAACGATTAAATGATGGTTTCCATCCGTTTAGACCCCAACTACACATTTCTGAAAGGTTTGGGATGTTTGTCGACATAAAATGAAGGTTAGAGTAAAATTTGCAAAAGTTGAAAAGGTTAGGGACTACTACTACAATTTTTCCTACTACTATTTGGAGACTTTGTTCCTCGTTCACTGTGTATATACACTTGGCTCGAGATTTTCTCTAGTGACCAACCTCGCTCGCTTTATATCATTTGAGCTTTTGCTCATGATTATCACTAATGCTGAGATCGTAAGTTAGTCGTGAGCTTTAGCTCATGGTTGATTTTGTCATAATTTACACTGAATTTCTTTCAATTTTCGAGATCCTTAATCCTAACTAATGACTTTAGTAAAGTTCCTGGCTAAGTGCTAGGATTCGACATATTCTTTGCTCATTCAACCGTGCTATATTTACAGGCTCGCTTACAAAAAAAATTTTACAAACAACATATAACGACATTTGATTCGTAAAAAAAAAAAAAAAAAGACCATACTATAAATGATCTGTGAACAATTCCCTTGTTGCAAATAATGAAAATATAGACAAATGTCACAAAAGCACATACATTCATAATATTTGAAAAATGAGAGTTAGGATAATGTATTCAATTCGGACTTTTATAGATTTTTTTTTTTTTTAAATGATTGTAAATTTTGTGGACTTTTATAAATTTATACAGAATTAATGGAAGTCTTTCGTAAACTTTTATTTTTAAAACTTTAATAAACTTTTGTAAAATTCATATGACTTTTGAATACTTTCTTTAAAATAGAATTCACTTGGATTCTCATGTAAGAGGTGAACAGTTGATTCTCATTCCCTTCCACAATGTAATAAAAAATTAAGTCACTTTAATTAGATAAATAAATAATCAAAATACAAAACTATATATTTTTTTATATAACATTTAAAATATTTTTGATAAAAGAAATAAAGAAATATTTATCAGTATGTTAGACATTTAAAAAATAAATAACTATTCAATAGATTCAAAATTTAAATACAAATTAGTCTTTATCTTAACATGAAGAAAAAAAAATGTTATGAGAATTTGTAAGAGTGTGTCTGGGCGCAATTGTGGTGAAGAAAATCAATTTTCCTTTCAAATCAAACCGGGCCCCACCTCGGCTGAGTCTTGCAAGGTATAGATTCCTTGGCTTCCAATTACCATTTTGTCCTCCAGCTTAAACATTTCTCTCACTTCAAATGCTACAACTTTGACCAACATAATAGATTGAATTTCTCAAGTCATGGCCCACCAAATAGTAATTGAAAAGAAAGTTGTATTCAACGTGGCAATAACTGGTAAATTGACGGAACAAATTTTCTTTAATTTTCCCAATTGAACGTGCCAATTAATACATTTTCAATCGAACAAAAATTAAAACTGCATAAATTATTGTACGATACGCGCGTTGTTATACGAACAGATACATTACTGGCTTTGAGCCAAATAATCTCGAAAACGATCTCACTCATTGCGTTGCATTTCTGGTGCATTCATTTCAGCAGCGGCTTCCTCCTGTTCATCTGGAAGTTCTACCTCCGCCACGTTCGGATCCGACTCCGCAGTTGCGAATGCCTCGTCGGCAACTCCAGCCCGTCGAAGGAAGTTGTGTATACCCATAGTAGCTATGACAACGGCAATCTGCACGTCAAAATTGTAACTTGGCATGCGATCGAGAATTTTCCACCGATTTTTCCACACACCAAATGCACGTTCTATTACATTCCTGCATGACGAGTGCCTGTAATTAAATTTTTCACGTGCGTTTCGAAAGTTTCGTCTCCGACCCGTCTGACTATCGTGAAACTGCTGAAAATGATACAATATATCTGATCCCTTATACGGAGCCATGTACCCAGGTCTATGTGCGAAACCAGAGTCGACAAGATAATATTTCCCAGGGGCAGGATGCGGAAAATCAATATCAGGACTATGTATAGCCCGTGCTAGTATCCGTGAATCGTGCGTAGTCCCCGCCCACCCTGCATGCACAAATGTAAAACACAGATTGAAGTCACATGCTGCAAGAACATTTTGTGTGGGAATGCCCTTTCGGCCAATAAAATTAACTCGTTCGTCGCGCGGCAAGACAGCTTTCACGTGCGTTCCGTCAATTGCACCTATGCAGTTTTGAAATAACGGATGCTTGTTGATATCTGGTACGTGATGTTCAGCACCATGATTGTAGTTGGGATCAGGTCTTATTAGACGTACACTAAATTCCACGACGGCTTCAAGCACACGCTTGAAATAGTGTCCAATTGTTTCCAATGAATGGTTGAACAGTGTTTGCACCTGTCTGTAGCCTTTTCCATGCGCTAATATGCACAAAAACATCCCAACTTGTTCATACACGTCTATCTGCTGGCCACTACGTAGTCCGAATTCGTCGCGAAGTTTATGTGTGAATGCTCGCAGCGTCGCGGGATACATCCGGAATTCCGCATAACATGTCTTGGAACTATATTTCATGGCATCCAACATGAACATGTGTCCGTTTCTCGCAAATGGGAACCTCCTCACTCGGTTTCTCTGTTCGCGATAGTATGTAGCGACTTCACCATCTGTATGTCGACAGTATCGAAACCATTCGATAATGTCATCTTGCAGCTGTTGCACAATTTCGTCTTCGTCGACCTCGACTTCATCGTCGGAGCAAGGCATGAGCTCACAATGATAATCTGAACGGGCCATTCCAATGAAGTAAAATTGTGGTTCTTGATATTGGTTGAAGGTCTCGTTATATACACATTGCTCTATTTCTCATGGCATCATTCACCATCATTGAACCAATGAATGACTTTTTCAAAGGTAGGTGAAGTCAAAAACATAATAATTCACACTAGCAAATGGACAAATGTACAAATATTCTTTCAAAACGAAGACACCCACTCATCCATTTTAACCGTACGCATGCCATCACAAAATTGGTTGAAAATAGGAAAAGCAAATCCCTTACACAGATATGGGTGCAGAACATAATTTCTCCGAGTACACAAACACATTGTTCAAATGGAAAATCCCGCAACAGTAAAAAAAAAGAAAAGAAAAAAGTACTTCCGGCCGTTACGTTTATTTTTAATCCCTTACATTCTTCATCCCGGGCGTCTCTTCGTATCATCGTGAAAGCTCCATTCAACCCAGTCCATTTTTTCGTCTGCGCTGTCCTGCGCGTCGATAGTCTCCCTATTACAGCGTTTGCTAAGGAACTTGCACGTCCAGAAGTACAACTCAGTTTTCTTATGCAGTCTACCCGTCGACAACAACTCTGACAATATTTCCTTCACTGGCGGCACAGGAGGCCCCACCAAATTGTCGATTT